ACAAGGAAGGGAACCGAGGGCCTTGCACGTGCCAGGCAAGTGCTCCACCCCTGAACTATATCCCAGCCCACATAAATGAAAGGAAAGAAACGCGCTAGCATCGAAAGCAGAGGACAGTTCTAACAAGAACAGCTTACCACCGAATAGACATTCCTGATGCTGCAAGACCCGGCCATGCTGGTACAGCAAGCGCTGTCACCTGCCACAGCGCCTGTCCGTCTGTCAGCTCGGCTTCACGGCACACAGTACCGCAGGAAGACAGTGAAACGCCTTTTCTCCTCAGAGAAACAAAGTCTTGTTCTTTTCGTCAGGAAATAAACATGTTTCAGTGAAGAAAAGTTTAAACTGATTATCTTCCTTTAAAAACCGTTGAACATAAGGTTGTAAGTAAAATAAGGCTTTAAAATCTAGAAATAACAGATTAAGATACCCAGAAATATAACTGCTGGTCCTGGGCTCCCACTGTATCTGTCCTCACCTTGTGCTGCGGGAAATGGTTCAGGCCAAAATTTATACTAAAATATAAAGTCTAGCTTCTGAGGAATCAGTGTCACTCTCGGGGTTTGCCGAAACATCCATTAAAAATAACTTCCAAAGCCAGCATGAACAGAGTGGTTCCCTCCGTGCTCTCTCGGGTGGGAACCCGGCTTGTGACGCTACTGCAGCGGTCCAGAAATGCCAGGTCTTCCACCCAGCAGGGGCCCGCGCGTCCCCTGGCCTGTTCACCACCCGCTCCCAACTTCAGTGTGTGTGGAACTTTAGATCTGTGAACTGCTCAAAGCTAATGTTTGAATTTTAGGAACTGAAGATTTCATGGGGCAAACCATGCAGTCACTAGCATTATGAGATGTGGCAGAGTTCATCTCGGGGATGGTAACAGTTTTTTAAACTGGAAGTAATGTGAAACCACCAGCCACACTTCCAATGCGCGTCTTCATTCTTACCATTGGGAAATGTTACATTAATGCAAATTCATTTTATTTTTAATCTAAAAAATTAAAATTGCAAATTACATGGAAAAATAATGATGTGGCACATTCCAAAGTTAAAGATAGATAGATGTGGGACCCAGTGCTGCTCCCAGTCAGTAAAAATCAAGAAAAGGCAGCTGGCTTTCCTTGGTCTTGAACAGCCTACTTCAGTTCTGGATCTCAGAAGTGTCCAGACTTTAAGGTCTACTGAACCGTAAGAGAAAGTTGGGGTTTCAGCAAGGTCACGGCTATCTTTTAATTTTCCCAAAAAAGAATTTTTAAAACAACAAAACACCATATACTCCCAAGTTCATTTAACAAAAGAAAGACAACACCAAGACAGTAGGAAGCCCCTGTGCACACACCGAGGATGTTCGCTGTCACTGCAGACTGAGAACTGTGTAAAACTTCCCTTTGGAACTTAACTTGCCTTTGCTGGCTGGTGGGTGAAAACTTCTTTGCTGTCCTTGGGAACCCCTGGCATCAATCAATCATAAATTACCTTTAGGGAAAAAGAAGTTGAATCAGTAGGAAGGAAAGGAAAGGATGTCTAAAACCAGTGATGGTTTTAGAAAATAAATTAGGAAATGTTGGCTTCCTTCTGCGTTCTGCAGGTCAGAGCAGGCGTTGTTTTAATACTCCAGGTGAGATAAGCGAAGGCCATTCTGTTCTCACGCCTCAGTTTTACCTGTGAAAGAGCTGTGGTCCTGCATTTTTCCTCCCGTAACCCCAGGAGCTGAAGTCTTCCCTTTGGTTTTCATGCATCTATTGGGTATTAACTAATAGCACAGAGGGACCGTTTGCCTACGGGGATGCTCCTGTACGCTGGGAACTTTCCCCACATTTGCTCTGCTCTCAAATACCACTGACACATACATTCCTAAGAAGACTGGGCCACAGCAACGCGACTTAGTGCTGCAATGTAGGTTCTTTTTAGCGTGCCTAAGTCTCCTGGGAAGAACGGAAAAGGTCAGTGTTGAGTTTTGTATCCTTAAGTGTCAGAGAATTAAAGTTCAGTCCCTAAGGCCTTTGTCAGAGAGGGTGTTTGAGTTGTCTGGAGACGATACAGTAGTCCTGGTACACTCACTCACACAGGTTTTGGGAACTCAGATCAAAGAGGCCTGGAAAGGCCATGAAGCTGTTAGACTAATTCCCACCAGCACTGTGTACAGAAAGCTCCGAGTTGCCCAGAGCTCAGTGGCTGGTCCTTGAATGCCTTTGATCCTTATCTGGAAATTCTGCGAGCATATGTCATATAACTGAGGCATGGTCTTTTATTGGTGCAATTAGAACTTTTCAAATGCATTATGTTATCTCCACCCAGCTAAAGTCCCAAGCATTGTTTCAAAGGTGAGGTTAGTGATCTGTCAGAGGCTGTGCTTCAGGGGCGCCTGCTCCCACGCCCACCAGCCCCTGGGCTGCTCCAGCTTTTTCATTTCCATCTCACCAAACAGCATAATGGTCTTCAAGTTTGCTCAGTCCTTTGACTTCCTTTATCACATAGAGATGGCAAACATTCTGTTGCTAACTTGAAGTGGCTCTAGGCAGCAAGACTGGGAGGATATTAAACTAGTAAAAGCTTATCAACTGATTCATTGATATGCTGTAAATTCCAGGCTTTTCATTTTGCTTTTGAGGGTGGCGTAAGTCAACACATTAGTAAGCAATTTGCTGACATCAAGATGGATCACTTAAGACGCCTCCTGGGTAGACAAAGTTCACCTGGGTACTTTTGTTAGTGTGTGTTTTTTTAATGTTTAGCCAGTATGTTACTTGTAAATGACCTGTAATTGCTTTACATAACAATGATCCAAACCCTTAGTTACCTAATTTATCAAATATCTGAAATATGAGACTTAAAAGGAAAAATGTATTAAGACATTTATTCTTTTTAAAATTGATTCTTTTTAATTTTATGTGTTTTACCTGTTTATGTAGAATTCATTATATTAACTATGAGTTTAAAAACCAGAACTCAGTCGTCAGTATTTTTGCATACTTCTTGCCTTTTTAACTACTAAGGTCGACAAACCCACATAAAAAGTAAAGGAAAGATACAGGAAAGCAGAAGGCTGAGTACAGAAGAACTGGACATTTCAGAAATATTTACTAGTAGCTGCATTTCGGAAATTTCTTGGAAGTGACCACAACAGGCGGTCAATATATGTTGGTTAAAAAATACCGGTCTGGTGCTGAGAACGGGCATGCTACGCGCCTCAGCACGCTGACCACACACCGCGCCGAGCGGTGCCCCAGCCCCAGACATTCCCCTGCCAACCTTGGAGTACTTGGACTTACAAGAACAGTCGTATCAGTTCACTTTTAGAGATATCATCCCATAAATATATACTGAAGCATTTTCACTATATTTAGTAAGCTAACATCAATATTATGATCATAAGCTAACACATTTTATTGAATTTTGGAAGTAACTTCAAAATGATTCTAGATAAGCGTTGCTCTTTTTTTTCCCTCCTCCAAGAAGGAATTTCTACTGCACTCCTTTCAAATATGTACACTTGGGGCATATATTTGTCCTTATTTCTAATCTATTACAAACCTAAATTTTTATTGAATGCTAAGGGCCTTACAAAGAGGACTCAGGTGCTCCCCCAAATCTAAGGCACTCATTTGAAGAGATAAGAAATACACACAAAAAAGATAACACAAGTCAGCAGGTGGAGGGGCCAGAAGTGTATGTGAGAGGCTGAGTACAATTTCCTGTAGCCATTCACTGAATGAAGGAAACAGAAAAAGAGAAATTGTTCACAGAACCAAGTAAGCGAGTTGACCGGATCGCTCACAGGAGAGCATGGAAGGGAAGGCTGGTGGGCCGCAAAGATGAAGGGGCCATGGGAAGTTTTTGATCAAGCAGATTACATGGGGAAGTGTTCAGGGAACTGGAACTGCAGGGCAGAGAGGGTCAGGGCAAAAGCTGGGGCAGCCCAGGCTCTGTGACAGGGTCCTCGCTCTCGCCACCCTGCGTGGCATCTCTCCTCCTTCCTGTCCCCTCTGGTGCTCCTCCCAGGAGCCTGGGGATTCCAACCCTCCTGCCTCAGCAGCAGCACATTCAACTGTCAGTGCGGGCTTCCCCACTGGATTGCAGTGGTACAGGAGCGAGCGCGCTCTTTGATCTGCGGGGCTGGTAAAGCACCTGTTAAATAATAGCTCAGCAATGCCCAAACCATTTTAACAACCAGCCCCTACAGAAATTGTTTTGATTCTTTTGTCATTCGCCACTCAATGCCTGGAAGAGATAAAGTTAAAATCATTTAATTTAGATTGAATAAAACATATTTTCTTATATTACATATAAAGGGCATGATTTTTCTCCTTTAAACGTGCTTTTAATTTCTTTTAAATTAAGGGGAAAGTGTGCGTTGTCAGTAAGTGTGAAAGTGACATTCTGTGAGGCAGTACGAAGGAAGCCGTGGGCAGCAGCATGAACGAGACATCGGAGCTGCTCTGGGGCTGGCACTGGAGGAGTTCGCAGGCCAGGGCTGCCGAGCGCAGGCTCTGCCCTCAGCGCTGTGAGCACAGCGGCCTCCTGCATTTACTCCTTCCCACCTGTGAGGGACGGGCTCTCCGCCTGAGTGGGGAGGGAAGAGACGATAAATCAAATGTTCTGTTAAAATACATGTTGCAAGCAGTAGTTCCACAAAGAGACAGCGTGGGAGGGCTCAGAGGGAGTGGGGAACACGGTGTTCGGTGTTTGACAAGGTGACCTGCAAAGGTGATCTCTGAACAGAAACCAGGGCGCTGCTGCAGACACGGAAGCGTCCTCAGGGACCCTTGGTGTGGAGCGTGGCTGCCTTAGAGCATTCGCAAGGCCAACGTGTGCACCTTGGGGCAAAGCACTCTCAGCCGATTCACTAGGTAGGCCTGTTTCTCTAAAAAGCATCCCTGGGAGACAGAGACTTGGGGAAAGGTAGTAGGACAGGTGGTCAGGCCTCAGAAAGCCCCTCTCCCGTTCACGCTCTGAGAGGCCCTCCTGGTGGCTAAGCCCCGCTCCTGCTCTGCCCTTCTCAGTTCCTGCAGATCAGTCACCGCATACTGTGCTCCTACAACACCGACATAGAAGAGCTCTTTGCAGAAATTGACCATTGCCTGGCCGTAAATCGAGGCATTCTTCAGCAGCTGGACGAAAAGTGTGGCCATGAGCTCACAGATGAGGACTGGGAGAGAATCCAAGTGCAGGTAGGCTTGGGACCGGCAGCCTGGTCCAGCCCTCGCCCATCACCCGTGGGCTGGGGGAGGGGCCCTGCTTGACTGCGCCTGCTCAGTGTGGCCCCTGGCCTTTACTGTGAGCAGAGAGGCCTGCTCAGGTCTCTTGGTGTGGAGATGGCGGGATTCTGGCTGAATGGTGATTTGTGAAGGATGAGACTTGCGGGAAGAGACCGTGCCCAGTACCTTCCTGGAGGAGGTTCCCTGTGACTCTGGCCTGCCTGCCTCTTGCACATGCGGCAGCTTGGAAGAAGGAGACAGACTCAGCACTTGAAGCCAAGACGTTGAAACATTTAAGACATCATACTAGGGAATTTCCAAAGGAAGTTTATCAGTTACATAGCCAAGTATTTCAAAAATTTCCATCTTGGTGTTTAACTGTAGAAAGTATATTAGTGATGAGCACATTAGAAAGTATTTTTGCTTAAAACTGCTCATCACAGGCGGGTTAGCACCCCTTTCCATGTTTCACAGGAGTGACTGTGTGTGCACGTGTGTGACTGGAAAGCCAGCCCCCGGCACAGCTGTCACTTCCGTTTGAGTGCTCTCTCCAGGAAGGCACTTGCCACCCCCATAAAATGTGTGTCCGCCCTGTGCTGCAGGCCGCTCACCGTGAGATCTCTGAGTGCTCCATCTGCCTGACCCCGCTCGGGCTGCAGGGAGACGGCCGGCATCCACGAGCCACCGTCCTGCTGTCCTGTGCACACCTGTTCCACCACACCTGCCTCCTGGCCTTGGAGGAGTTCTCACTGGGAGACAGCGCTCCTCTCCATGCCTGTCCTCTCTGCCGGGCCTGCTACCAAAAGAAAATCCTGGAGTGTTGACTTCATGCTCAGGAAAACTGGTTAATTCTGAGGGAAAAAAGCTTACCTGGGTTTTGGATGAACTGTGTGGGTTTAGGGTTAAGTCCCACATGTGTTCTGTTCTCTGGGAACACATCTCTTGGCAGGTATATCATATATAGGAAATGTAACCAGATTTTAAAAGCTGACAACCAACCCCTCTAGTTTTAGCCTTTAGTCTATAAAAAATAAAAACAAGTTCCAGAATCATGAGTTTAATCACTTAATATGAAGAGTGGTGTTACTGAAAATATAGCTAGTGTCTGGCCAACAGGCTACAAAACAAACATTCTGAACACATTCCAGACGTTTCCCATTTATAGGACTCTCACAGCCTCTGCTGGTCCTCATACTTATTTTGCATAATCACTTTATTTCTATGTGATAGATTCCTATTGTAGTTGAGCACTTCAAATGTGTAAATCCAGGAAATAAAACTAAAATATTCTGTGGTATTCAGCATCAGAAAATGGCAAGTCAGACTTTAATGAAGCAGTAGCCCGTTGTAGACGATAGTGGAAACCCCTTGATCAGATGGTTCCTGACACTGATTTTCTAGTGATCTGTCCTGAGGGGGTTGGTTCCAAGGCCCCCCATGAGATACCAAAACCTTTACATGCTCAAGCCCCATATGTGACATTTGTGTAAAACCTGTACAATCTTAACTTTAAATCATCCCTAGATTACTCATAATACCTAACACAATGTAAATGCAATGTGTAAATAAATTTTACATTGTATTGTTTAGGGAGTAATCACAAGAAAAAGTCCACAGTCAGTGTGGATATCATTTCGTGGAAAATTTTCAGTTCAGGGTTAGTGGACTGCACAGAAGACTGACTAGAGCGGCGCCTGGGCATGCACAGTAGTAAGAAGAGCTGCAACAGTGAGGTTGCCCTCAGCAAACAGGACAGATAAGGCCCCCCCCAGTCCTTGACAGGGTACAGGGAGCGGGGCTGGGAGACCTAAACTACAAGCTGTAGCTCCTTCTAGCTTGCTGTTCAAGGTCTCCTCTGCCTCCTGCACCCCCAGAACATCTTCTCACCTGTGCGGGGAGAGCGTGTGCAAAGATGCTCTCCAGTGAGTGCTGTCCATGTGGGAAGCAGGCAGCAGAGGTCCAAGATGCCGGCAAGTGGGCACCAGGGACACACCAAGGTTCAGAACAGCACTTCAGGCAACGTGTTAAAATTCCTATTTGTTTATTTCTATCTTACCCTTTTAAAATACTACTCTGGTTTGGTCCAGTATGGAAGTATTATGGTTCCTCTATATACATAAAGTTTATGAATAGGTATGCCTGTTAGGATGAGCTCAAACATTTTTAATAAGGGGCTGGGGATTTAGCTCAGTGGCACAGTGCCTGCCTGACAAGCACAAGGTTGTGAGTTCGATTCCTGGTACTGGAAGAAAAACAAAACAAACAAACAAAAAACCAAACAACTCATTGCTGAGACAAAAATACCTGACATCCAAAGTTAAAAGTTTGGGGCTGGGGATTTAGCTCAGCGGCAAAGCACCTGCCTGGCAAACGCAAGGTCGTGAGTTCGGTTCCCGGTACCAGAGAAAAACCAAAAAAAAAAAAAAAAAACATTTTTAATGATGGGGTACATATACCACTAGAATAATACCACGAGTCTCACTCAAATTACAGGCTCACTGCCACAGGTGGTTCACATTCCCCAAGCCGCTCCATATGGCATGTGGCCACCGGCCATCCAAACGAAGCCAGGAAACTTCAAAACCGCTTCGCCGCATGGAGACCAAGTACCCTAGTTTAAAAGACCAGCATTTGGAGCATAAAAAGAAAAACGTGAACATGAAGAACAGGAGCAGTTTGAAGGCCACCACTTCATCAAATGTATCTGCACTGTGAGCGTCATTCTTAGGGACTAATGGCATTGCTAAAGCTAAGAAGCCCTTTACTACTGGTGAAGAGTTGGTCCTGCCTGCTGCTGAGGTTATTTGTCAGGAACTTTTAGATGAGGCTGCCGTTCAAAGGAGGCATGTGTTCCTTTAGCACCATAGTTAGACAAATTGATGGAACAGCAGAGGATGTCGAGGCACAACTGTCAGGATGAACGAGTCACCATGGTAAGCAATCCGGGTTGACAAGTCCATGGATGATGGCAATAAAGCAATGGTGCTCGTTCTGTACAATATATTTTCAGGAGGATGTCCTTGAGGGTGTTATGTACGCTCTGTTGCCAAGCAACACCAGAGCTACAGAAGTGTTCACACCTTCGAATGATTACATCGTCAGGAAAACTGAATTGTGTCTGTATACACATGGACAGATTGGCTGCCAAGACCGGACAGTTTCCGGTTTCACTTCTCAGGTCAAAGACGTCACTTCTGAATGTGAGTCTAGGCACTGTGTCATCCGTAGAGAAACTCTGGTCAGCTGAAAATGTCACCTGAACATTTTGTAGGATGTAGTTAAAATTATCAGCCACATTAAAGCACATGCCCTTAATTCATATCTGCTCACATAGCTCTGTAGGAATTGGACGCAGAGCAAGTGCATCTCCTCATACGTGGAAGTGAAACATCTTTCTAAGGGTAGGTAATGGAGCATTGTGTTTAAGTTACGAGAGCCACTCCACAGATTTCTTTAAAAAAAAAAAACAGTCACCATTGGCAGCACATTTCAGTGACACAGTGGGTCTCAAAACTAGCTCTTGTGTCATATTTAACCTTATCAATAAACTCAGTCTGTCATTTCAGGGGACGATACAAACCATGCTCAAGTCTGCAGATAAAATAGCTGCATTCAAACCCAAACTGCACTTCTGGGGACAACAGGTCAACATTAGGATTTTCAACATGTTTGAAACATCAGCAGATTTTGGAAGAGACTGAGCCAAGACCTTCTTTCTTCCAGCTGGTGCCTGATCAGCTATCTCTGCTCTAAAAAGTTTGAACAGTACTTCCCAGCCAGACAAGACTCCCAAACTGAGAAGGGTATTTGTGAATGAGCCAGGTGAGTCATCTTTGTCTGTGCTGGAAGAGGATCAACTGCTTGAGATCACAAGTGACATGACCTTAAAAATGTATCTGAGACAATTGCAACTCTCTGTACATTCCGGATTAAAAAGCAAGGCACACCTGAGATTAAAGCCTGCTTCCCTTTCCAACTTCCTGTCCCCGTGAAGCAGGCCAAAACAAGATTACAGAATAAACTGGACATAAGCAACAGACTTGAGGTGTCACTGTCTCCCATCACCCCCAGATGGCACCATCTCGTTGCAGGAAAACAAGTTCAGATCTCCGATTGTTCATTATGGTGAACTGTATAATTATGAACAAAGTGTACAATAAATGTAGTATGCTTGAATCATCCCAAAACTACTTCCCTCCCCCATCCATGGAAAAACTGTCTTTCACAAGGCTGGCCCTGGTGCCCAGAAGGCTGGGGACTGCTATTCTAAACAAGCAGCAGAGGGAAGCAGCACCACAGAACCCAGTTTGCATTCAGAAGGCCCAAGCCGCGGATGTGCAGCTGCTGCCTGGAGCAGACAGAGCACAGGCATGTGGTGGAGGTCTGGGTGTCTCGCCGTGACACCCCGCCCTCAGTCTGCAGGGAGCACCCAGAGTAGGTGGGCCCAGTGGAGGCCGCGCCTGTGACCAATCCACCAGTCTTTCCTGGGCGTCCCGCTGAGTCTGTGAGCGCTGCGTATCTTTCCACTAGTGCATCTCCTGTTCAGGGACAGAGTCCACTTCTGCTCTTGGCAACACAGGAATTAGTGCCTCACTGCAGCAGTAGGTCCTCAGGAAAGTTGGTGAGAACAAAGTTGATAAACCAGATGATTTTCTTATGGAAAAGCAGCCTTGTGGCAGGGGTACTGATGGTTTCAATGGTGGCTACCGCTGACTACTCTGTTGGTTCTCCTGTCAGGCTGGGGACATCACACCACAGCCTCAGTGGCTTCTGTCTGGATGCTGAAGCACCCATCTGAGAAGCACACAGGGCGGGGCTGGGAGGACAGAGCACACCCGCCCTGCTTGCCTCCTGGTCAGGGGCAGTGGCCATGGTGGTGGAGTGACCCCTCCCCTTTTAACAGGTAGTGGCCACCTGTCCAAGTGGCAAGAGGAGACAGATTTTCCTGGGGCCTACTCTTCACACATCCCTCTAGTCTTTAACACGCATCACTGAGTGCTGGCATACCCTGGATTGGCGGCAGTAAGAAAACCACGCTCAAGTCCAGGAAGAGAACACCTGTGGGGGGCAGGCATTTCCTAACAATGAAGGTTACAATCCATAATGAGGGCATAACTGTCATGAATCTTTATGTACAGCTGTACAGTGCTTGGATCAGAAAAGGGGTTGCTGTGAGAAGTTAACAGGAAAAAGGAGAATTTGGGACTCATTTGTCAAACCATAAACAGACTGAGAAATGAGAGTTCTACGTACAGCACTGTTCCACCGTAAGTCCATTCCACGGGGTGTCTACCCATGCTTCTGGAGACGGTTGTTTGGACTGCTTACAGGTTTTCACTGCTATGCATAAAGCCGCTATGAATATTTGTGAATTCAGAAAGAAAAGTTAAGAGATACTGGATCTGAATATTATAACTTATCTTGGAGGATCCAGGAAACCCTTATAAAAATTGGCCACAGACCACAAAGAAAACTTTGCCAGCACAAGTCATGGGTCCCATTTCCTCATCCCATGGTGCTACCTCCTCGGCTCAGCAGGCCCTCCCTGGCCAATGCGGATGCTGGCAGAATGGCATGGGAACCTACTCATCCTCTCCTCCCTGCCGCTGACGGTGACACGGACATGCCTAAGGGCTAGATGTGAAGCAGATCTGGTTCCAACCTGGAGCGGGGGTGCTCTTCCACAGGCAGACTGAGCCAGTCGCCGCCTCTCCAGTGTGGGGAGTGGGGAGAGCGCAGTGACGTGGAGGCGGCTGTCTCTGCACAGCCCCTGACACGCCTTTCCAAGACGGATCAGTGAAGTACTATGGAAACAATAAATGGGCCTATAAAAGCAATTTGGGCTGCTGAGAGTATTCTGGAAACAGATGAGTAATGGCTGCCATCCCCGTGAAAGTATTTAATACAATGAATTATACAATTTTTTTGGTCGTTCCGAGACAGGGTCTCACTATGCAGTTCAGGCTGGCCTTGAGCTCACAGCAGTCCTCCTGCCTCTGCCTCTCAAGTGCTGGGACTATAGGCATGCACCACCATGCCTATAATTATATAACTT